TTAGATCTTCAGCCACGTTTTACTAGTTACCTATTTTTACTATAATGGTCTCATAAACTATTAGACCATTTTTAGTGTAGAAATGGCATAAGAACTAGCATAACTCCCCTCAGCTCTTTACAGTTGGGTTGTAAGCAGCTCATATCTGACCTTCAAGCAGGTTTTCCGAGGCTGTAAATCACTGGAGAGGATATTGCCCTTCTCTCTCAGGGCAGCTAGTAGATTTTGAATTTCCCACCTTTGTCTTGGAAGAACAATTCCCTAATCTCCAGGGCCATCAGAATGCCTAGATTAGTATGGAATATATTAATTTTATAGACTTCTTAAAATGAAAATGACAATATTTGTATAGTAAAAAGTAATGCAAGAAATCTGGAGGACAGCTGGCCAACTGACTGGAAAGAATCGATGTTTGTTCCCATTCCAAAGAAAGGTGATACAACATAGTGCGGAAATTATTGAACGATATCATTAATATCACATGCAAGCAAGATTCTGCTGAAAATTATCCAAAAACAGTTGGAGCAATATGTCAGCAGAGAACTGCCAGATGTTCAGGCTGGATTTAGAAGAAGTCGTGGTACGAGGGATATTATCACTAATATTAGATGGATCTTGACAGCAGAGAATACCAGAAGAATGTCTATCTGTGCTTCATTGAAAATGCAAAGGATTTTGACTGTGTGGATCGCAACAAGCTATGGCTGACTCTGAGAAGAATGGGAATCCCAGAACATTTGATTGTGCTTATTATGCAAAACCTATACTTGGACCAAGAGGCAGTCATCAGAACGGAGCAGGGAGACACTACGTGGTTCAAAATCAGGAAGAGGGTCCGTCAGGGATGTATTTTGTCTCCATACCTTTTCAATCTGTATGCAGAACAGATCATCCGAGATGCTAGGCTGTACGAGGAGGAACGTGGCATCAGGATTGGTGGAAGAGTCATCAACAACCTGCGTTAGGCAGATGACACAACCGTGCTTGCTGAAACTGAGGAGGACCTGAAGCGCTTGCTGCAGAAGGTCAGGGACTGCAGCCTTCAATATGGAATGAAGCTCATCATCAAGAAAGCAAAGATTCTCACCACTGGGCCGATTAGCAGCATCAGTATGGATGGTGAAAAGATTGAGATAGGCAGTTTTAGTTTACTTGGCTCCCTTACAGTCAACACCCTTGGTAACAGCAGCCAGGAAATCAAGAGACGAATTGCATTTGGAAAGTCAGCTGTGAGGGTGTGAGGGACCTCTCAAGAGTACTGAAGAGCAATGATATCAGCCTGGAGACTAAGGTGTACCTGATCCAAACTATAGTCTTCGCATTTACGTGCTATGTATCAGAGAGTTGGACAGTGACTAGGGATGAAAGAAAGAGAATCGATGCCTTTGAGCTCTGGTGCTGGACTGCGAGGAGAACAAACAGGTTTGTCCTAGAGAGGGTGAAGCCGGAGTGCTCCTTGGAGTCAAGGATTCTGAAGCTTTGTCTGACATATTTTTGGCATGTTGCAAGGACAGACTGGCCCTTGGAGAGGGACACTGTGTTTGGGAGAGTGGAGTGATGGCACAGGATAGGAAGACCCTTGATGAGATGGATCGATTCTGTGAGTGGAGTGGTGGGAATGAGTGTGTTTGAGATGGTGAGGTTGGCACAGGATAGATCAGTGTTTAGAGCTCTTGTACATAGGGTCGCTATGAGTTGCAAGGGACTTGATGGTAGATAACAACAACAACAACAACAAAATAGTGCAACACTTTCCTCTTCAAGGCATTTGATTTCTATATGTAGTCATTCATTCTTGTAAGTAACTTTTGTGGCCCAGTTGAGGAATCACAAAATATTAAATAAAAAACTAGTATATAACACTTTGAGGTGCTAACCAAAGATTGACAATTTGAATCTATTCCACCACTCTGCATGTAAAGGATAAGCCATCTCTTCCTATAAATATTTGCATGAAGATTTATAGCCTCAGAAATCCAATGGAGGGTTGTTGTATTGAAAGCGATTAATGGCAGTGGAATTTGTATGTGTATCTGTATTTTGTATCTATATCTGTAGGCAATACATATGTTGTCTTTATTAATATATATTATTATCTGAACAGATACATGGATATCTAATGAATTTTCAGTAGTCATCATACAAAGATTTTTGAGTATTTTTAATGCAGGCTTTATCTCTGGAGTTATTTTTCAGCAGTTATCTAAAAGTTTGAGATTTAAGAATAATGTCTTGAATAAACAGAAGTTATAGATCATATCATTGCATTTTCTATACTAACCACCATATTTCCCCCAATTATTCAAATTCAAATTGTGCTGTTAATATCTAACAGCACAAAAATAATCATAGTTCTTAGTATTTGTAAAATCACTTATTTTAACAGAAATGTTTCTCATAGCCTTATAGTTTTTCTTCATTCAATGAAGTCCTGAATCATCATGGGGTCTTTGTCTTTTTTATAGGTTTTCAGTGTTTTTAATGAAACCACCAGCTGTTATTTAAAAAAAAAATTGGACTGTTTTATTCTCACCTCTTCTAAAAGGTATTGTGGTATGAAAGTGCAATAATAGGTCTTTAGAAAATTAAAGCAATATGACAAGACTCAGAAGATGCCTTACTTTAGAACCTTTTTTTAGTAAGAGTGTACTCTTTATTTTTGTTAGGTATCTTGGATCAGTCTGCTGTCTGGGTTGATGAAATGAATCATTATGACATGCGCACAGACAGGAATAAAGGAATTCCTCCTTTGTCCCTGCGTCCTGCTAATCCACTTGGTATTGAGATTGAAAAGTGAGTATTATTTTGCCATCAACTTTTTTTGTCTTTCAGTTGCTGAGCAGGTTTGTATAATTATATGAAGGAGTACAAATTAGTTTTCCTGCTGGAGATTATTCACATTCGTGAAAACTTGGGTATAAAATAACTTATCCCTTTAGTTGAGTTTGTATGCTAAGAAAAAAGAGATTATATTTGAAATGTTATGAATAATTTAATGATATAAGCGTTAATATTAATATGTTATGAAATTTTAATGAATAATAAATGTAAAGGATAAATTGAAAGGCATACTGCAATGGGAAAGTCTGCTGTCAGAGACCTCTGCAAAGTACTGAAGGGCAATAGTGTCACTCTGGAGACTAAGGTGTACTTGATACAGGCCATGGTCTTTGCAATCATTTGCTGTACATCAGAGAGCTGGACAATGACTAGGGAGGATAGAAGGAGAATTGATGCCATTGAGCTGTGGTGCTGGACAAGAGTATTGAATATACCATGGATTGCTAAGAAAACAAACAATTTCATTCTGGAGAGGGTTAAACCAGGCTGCTTCTTGGAGGCAAAGATTCTGAAGCTTCATCTGACATACTTTGGACATGTTGCAAGGAAGAACCAGTCCTTGGAGAAGGACATTATGCTTGGGAGGGTAGAGGGACAGTTCAGGAGAGGAAGACTCGCTATGAAGTGGATTGATTCAGTTACTGGGGTAATAGGAGTAAGTGTGTTGGAGACAGTGAGATTGGCACAAATCAGAACAGTGTTTAGGGCTGTTGTATGTAGTGTCACACTAGGAGTCACAGGTGACTTGATGGCATATAACAACAATAAGTATTAATATGTTATATGCTAGACTTGTTAAATTTAAGTATTTTAAAAATGCTTAATGCCAAAATAAAATTTACTCTTTATTTCATTTTTCTAGAAATATATTAGAATAATTAGGTCCCATCTAGTATTTTTTTGTAACCAGGAGTGGCATCCGCTTCCTAAACCACATGCCTCTGGAAACTCTATGAACTTTGAGAAATGACGATAGTTATAGAAAGACTTCAGGTCTTTTGTGCATAGGGTCACTATGAGTTGTGCTCGACTCTATGACAATTGGCAACAGCAACATGTAACCTAGTCTACGTTATTGTTGTTGTTAGGTGCTGTTTAGTTGAGTATGACTCATAGCAAGCTTGTGAACAACAGACCTGAACCCTAACCTGTGCCATCCTTATCATCTCTGACACACTAGAGCCCATTGATGAAGTCACTGTATCAATCTAGCTCATTGGGGATCTTCCTCTCCTTTGCTAATCCTCCATCTTTCCAAGCATGATCTTCCTCTCCAAGGAGTAGTCTCACCTAGCTACATGTTCAAAGTTTGAAAGACAAAGCTTCCCGTTTTTGCCTCCAGGGAGCACCCCTGGTGCACTTTCCTCCAAGACATATCTATCTGTTCTGTTGACAGTCTGTGGGATATTCAATACTCTTGTCCAGCACCTGAACTCAAAGGCATCAGTTCTTCTGTCATCCTTAATTATTGTCCAGCTGTCTAATGCATAGCAGATGATTGAGAAGACCATGACCTGAATCGGGTGCCCTTTAATCTTCAAACTGACATCATTGCTCTTCAGTATTTTGTAAAGACCTGTAGTTTACACTGAACCCAGACTTGATTCATCTTTAACCTTCAGTATTGTGTCAGACAAATGGCTGTCTTTCAAGATGCTTTAAAATAGATCTAGATTTTCCTTAAATCCTAGTATGATACTTTTGTAAATTTTATCATTACCACATTTATCTTTTTATCTTATTTAAGCAGTTCATCCAATATACTGTGTGAAGTTTGTTTTCTGGCTTAGTGATTCTACTTGGGGAGTTATCTACTGAGTGTTGCTTTATGAGTGATATATTTGGCAAATTGGATCTTTTCACACTTTAAGTATAGCTTTATTTTAGTGTTTTCTAAGGATAGAAAAATTCCTCACTAAAGTTTTAAGTATTTAATCTTCAAGCCTATACTTGAAGATTGTTTTTTTTTCCAAACAAAGCAGTCTTCTTTCTCACACACGGAGGTTTATTCCTGGCTGCAAGCAAGGATGTCTTTGTGGGAAATTGTTACCTAGAGTCGAAGACTTTAGTGAGTCTGGGCCATCCTAGGTGCCTTCATTGAAGCAGTTGCTGTTCTGAATCAGTGCCCTGTGTCCTTTAAGAGTTGTTTAACAGTGTTCATTTAAGACTTGAAAGCCTGGAAAGGAATGGCCATTGGTTGATTCCTATCTGAGCATCACTGCAGTTTTGCAGTGGAGATTCAACCTTTGTAGCAGAGTTTGATGAACTGCTTTTACCTTGGTGAAAGCCAGCTTTTTCCCCCTGCCGCCAGGAGGCTGTATAGCCCAGTTGACCTCTTTGAAGTATTCCCTCATTAGAAAGTTGCAGGGGTTTTTTTGTGTGTAAAAGGAATATAGGAATATGGTATAACACTTATTGGAGCCTTAGACAAAACTAATGATGTTAGGATTAAATTATATTATATTTAGTACTATGAAATTAGTTTCCTTAGTTTGTAACTTAACTTTATATCTTATCCCTCTTTGATCTTTCTGGTTTTTATTTTTTCATCTTTCAGATGACTTAACTTTCATCATCTTTCAGTTGACTCTTGTTGCCTGCTAAGCACTTGTCTTGAGCTGTTACCTAACAGTGCTTTCTCATTATATGTTTCAGGACAGTTCTTTCATATCATTGATAACAGCAGCTAGGATAATTGCACTAAAGTTCCTTAGCCTTTTGAATTTATGCTTTTCTTTTTGTGTGGTTTTCCTCCTATTTCCCTTTTCTCAGAGTTGGTGTGGTTTAGTCTGGAGCCAACCTCCCTAAGTTTGAATCACATTTCTGCTACTTGCCAGTAGTACATCTTTGGGCAAGTTACCCAGTTTTTCTTTTCTTCCATTTCCTCAGGTGCTGAATGTGGCTACTTCACAGGGTTGTGAGAATGTACTTAGTTAACACCTATGAACACCTAGAAGAATGTCTGTCTCATAGGAAGGACTGGATAAATGTTAAACCATTGCTACTTTGATTCCCTCTGTGGCTACTAGGAAGCAGGATCTCTTAGTTATGACTACTTGAAGATAATAAATAAAACATTTCAGGATAACAAAATGTTTTCAAATCTCAAAATATTATTATGTGCATCTGTTCAAGAAATGCTGAAAAAGGGAAAAATCTAACAAATAATACTCCAAGACAGAACTATTTGTTTTCTTGGTGGTCCATGGTGGGTTCAGTATTCTTCTCCAGCACCACAACTCAAAAGTATCAAGTTTTTTTCTGTCATCTTAGTAATTTTCTAGCTCTCTGATGCACAACAAGTTATTGTGAAGGCTATGGCCCCAATCAGACACACCTTAGTCTCTAGATTGACATCATTGCTTCTCAGTACTCTGGAGAGGCCCCTGACTGCAGATTTTCCAAGTGCAATTCTTCTTTTGATTTTCTGACTCCTGGTGCCAAGAGTGTTGACTGTGGAGCTGAGCAAGCTGAAATTGTTAACAACCTCAAACTCCTCTCCGTCTATCATGGTGCTGCCAGTTGGCCTAATGGTGAGAATCTTTGTCTTGTTAATGTTGAGCTTCAATCCGTGTTGAAGACTACCGTCCTTGACTATCTGCTGCAAGAGTTTTAGGTCCTCCTCAGTTTCAGCAAGCAGGGTTGTGTCATCTGCATAATCATTCCTATACATTGTGTTTTATAAACTTAATCCCATTTGAATTATGCCCACTATAACCTCATCTTTTCAGATCCCTGACAGAACTTTTACATTTCCTTTACCTCCTCTTCCCTCCATGAACCCAAAATGTATGATCCTATGATTTCTCTCCTGCCCATCCTTACCCTTCGGCTGCCACCCCGTTCCCCCTTGGAGTCCCATACACATTTTACTAATTATCCTTATATTTTTACAATAATTGTCTTATTGTCCTTATGTATTTGTATATGTCCTTATGAGACTGAGTTCGCTCACTCAGCATAATGCTTTCAAGTCTCTCCAAAGTTATGTAGTAATTTTTTAAATCATTGCTCCTGAGTGCTTCATAGTATTCCACCATGTGTATGTACCTCATATTCGCAGTCCATTCAATTATGGTTGGACATTTGGGCTGTTGCCATGTTCTTTCAATTGTGAATAATGCAGCTATGAACATTGGTGTACAAATCTTTTGTGTCTCAGCTCTAATTTTCTTAGGGTATGTACCTACCAGTGGACACACTGGGCCATAGGGAATTACTATGTTCAGCTTTTTGAGGAAATGCCAAATTGCCTAGGAAGAGAAGTTTTGAAGGAATATATGTATGTTTAGTTAAGGACCTTTGGAAGAGCTTTATTTATTTAGCACTTTTCAAGGGAAAGATAGGTTTATCTTACGGAAGGAGAGATAATTTAAATCAGAAGATAAATGCAGCTGGCCTTTAAGATGGAGTCAGTCTGGCTAGGTGCTTAGTCATCACAGAGCTTTTATTGCAGGCCTGTCCTCTGGAAGGCCGTACTGCAATCACTATTCCTAACTCTGCATATACATGACACCTTTAAGCTCTTTCAACTAAAAACAGGAACTGTTAGTAAAATTAAAGGTCATTAGGAAGGAACACCTAGAGCTGTCTATATTAGCTGACTTTCAGGCTCCCTATATAGGGTATTTTCCTGGATCTTATGGTAACTTGTGGTTAGGCTTCTTGATCTGGTTTTGTTTTTGTTTTTTTGTTTTGTTTTGGTTTGTTTGTTTTGTCTTGGGGGCAAAATAACTTTGCTAGGAAAGAAAAGTAATTTTATTCACCCTATCCTGTAAAGCAGCACACTTTCTAACTCTTCCTCACTTTGTAGCAAGCATAGTTGTGTTATCTGCATAATGCAGCAGGTTGTTGATGCATTATGCACATAACATAACCTTGGTCTCTCTGATCTTGATGCATTTATCTTCATATAGTACAGATTCTTGAATTTATTCTGCATACAGATAGAA